GCTCTCACATGGGAGGAGCTCTGTTCAGCCACAAGCCAGGCTGATGGCTGCCAGTACAGCGGTGGTGGTGGGAGCCTCTCCTGCCTCCTCAGCAGCACTAAGGATGTCCGACTGCAGCTTAGGTCTGCTCCCTGCGGGGTCAATCCCCCGGGGAGCAGGCCTAAGCCAGCAAGTGGCCACCCCTGAGAGGTCCCAGACTGCAAGAGGGCACAGGCCGGGCTGAGGGACCCCCTACCCCCGAGTGCACAAATTTTTGTGCACCGGGCCTCTAGTATATATATAAAATACTAGAGGCCTGGTGCGTGCACGGGTGGGGTCCGGCCGGCCCGCCCCAATGGAGGCCTGTTGGGCCGGCAGTGGGGAGGGGCCACGGGTGGTTGGCCAGCCAGCTCTGCTCCTGATCAGGGTATTGGGTGCGATGGGTGGCCTAGCTAGCTGGGGGGGGTGCCAATCGGGGCCCAGATCAGGCTGGTTGGCTGCAACTGTGTGTGTCATAGCCACCGTTCGTTCCGATCATTCTGGTTGTTCCGCCGTTTGGGTCGCTGGGTTTTTATATATATAGATTACTTGGCTATAAAAAAGAGAAATCTTACCATTTACAAAAACATGGATGGCCCTAGAGGGTATTATGCTAAGTGAAATAAGTCAAAGAGAAAAGGACAAATAACATATGATTTCACTTATATGTTTAATCTAAAGAGCAAAGTAAACAAACAAAACAGAAACAGACTCACAGATGCAGAGAACAAGCTGATGGTTGCCAGATGGGAGGTGGGTTGGAGGTCTGGGTGAGGAAGGTGAAGGGATTAAGAAGTACAAATTCATGGGTGTTAAGTTCTACACAGGGAATATAGACAATAATATTGTAATAAGTAGGTATGGTGCCAGGTGGGTACTTGAAATGTCAGGGGATCACTTTGTAAGGTATATAAATGTCTAACCACGATGCTGTATACCTGAAACTAATATAATACTGACAGTCAACTGTAATTGAAAAATTTTAAAAGTTTAAAGAAATAAAAACAAACAAAAAGAGAGAGACATACTAAGACATGTTCTGGGAGGTGCAAGTTAACAGGAACTGTTTTCCTAGGGTAGCATTTGCTAATAATAATAGCAGTGAGCAAGATCAACCTGATCTATCTATAAAGTGCAGCAATTTTCAACCTTTTTCATCTCATGGCACATAAACTAATTACTGAAATTCTGCAGCACAACAAAAAATAGTTTTTTGCTGATCTGACAAAAAATAAATGTAATGTTGATTCCTTCACATTGGATGGCTATGTAGCATGTGTGTGCACATGTGTGGGTGTAGGGGGACATGGCAGGAGGGAGGGAGCAACTTTATACAAAAGGAAAATTTAAAAGTCTTAATGAATAAAATTATATTATTATGTTAGAAATACTTTTAATATTTTATTTTTCAGAAGAGGACTATCAGAAGGATCTGGGAAACACAATTTTCCTGTAAAAATCAAAGATCCTTTACCTACACATTTTACAAGAAATGTGCAGAAAGCCATTGATAAATATACCTGGTAAGTATTAACCTATGAACACTTCTGATTGCAAAACAAAACATGCCCATAATGAATATGGCAAACAAAATAGGAGATTGGCCGTGAATTTCTAAAAGTAAACAAGCAGTTTTATTTTCAGATAAAACTAAAATTAGTGAAATGTTACATTGCATCAGTATTTTAAAATTCTGTCTGCTGTGAACTTGACAAATATATTTAAAGAAAGAACGAGGAAGTGGCTCAGAGAGGTAAAGCCAGTTTCCAGCCCAACCTCTTCCCAGGAAATATTATTTATGTTGCCTCGTTTGTTCCTGCAGTGAGTCCGTGTCATCGTTTTCATCCAGTGGAAGCCCCACACCCACAGAAGCCCACAGCTCTTGGTCCGGGTCTGCGACGCAGAGTTCGACCTCGACCACAGGTTTATCTACCGAAAGGAGCTCCATTTGCTCATGGAGAGATGAAGTATGTGTCAGAATACTTTGGATAATTGCATGGTTACAATGTGTAAAGAAGAGTTGCTTTCTTATTTTTTTAATTATTTTTATATTTTAAATACATTTTTATGGATTTCAGAGAGGAAGGGAGAGGGAGAGGGAGAGGGAGATAGAAACATCAATGATGAGAGAGAGAATCATTGATCAGCTGCCTCCAGCACGCCCCCTACTGGGGCACAATCCAGGTATGTACACTTGACAAGAATCAAACCCAGGGACCCTTCAGTCCACTGAGCCAAACCAGCTAGGACTGCTTTCTTATTTTTAAAAATATCTTTTTACCAATTTTATTTTATTTTATTTTTTAAAAAATATATTTTATTGATTTTTTACAGAGAGGAAGGGAGAGAGATAGAGAGCTAGAAACATCGATGATAGAGAAACATCGACCAGCTGCCTCCTGCACATCTCCCACTGGGGATGTGCCTGCAACCCAGGTACATGCCCTTGACCGGAATCGAACCTGGAACCTTTCAGTCCGTAGGCCGATGCCCTATCCACTGAGCCAAACTGGTTTCGGCTCTTTTTACCAATTTTAAAAGCATTACCTACTATATACATACATCACCATACATATAAAATCATTTCTATGTCACATGTAAAATCTTAAAAATACAAAACAAATAAGGAAAAACAAAAATCACTTATATTCCCATATCTCAAAGTCTCAGCTATTAATAGTTTTGTTTTTTTCTACTTCCTTCCCCTCCCTCTCGGTGTGTTACATTTAATTTCTTATATGAAATCCATGGCGGGAAATTCAGGACAGACGCTGACAGTAGGAACTCAAGAGGAAAACTTGGGTGAAGTAAAAACTAAAATATTGCCCTGGTTAGAGGATTTCTAAGCAGATGTTTTACTTTCACCTTCTAAGTGTTGTGGAAACTGTTAACTTTGACCTTATCTTTGTCATTTTCGGGAGTGGGGTTTGGAGCCAGGCAAGCTTTTAGTCACAGCTCTGTTGGGTGCTCTGCCGATTGCACAGCCTCCTGCCCCCGTAGCTCCTCAAGTGCCCCTGAGCATCCCTTTTGTGAAGCCATGGTGCCTGGGAGCCTCCACTGTAGCCCGTGGGTGTTCTATCTCCTGCACTTTCTTGTTTTCTGTTTTTCTTTGCTCTCTTTCAAAGCAGTTCTCCACTTGCCCCTCTTCCTCCTACCATCTTACAGCAGCGATTTGCAAAGTGTGGGAGGAGACGCTGGGATAGAGAACATTGCAAAAGCAGCCAAATGCAATTGAGAGAAAATGGAAAGTAAGCCCTCTCGCAGGCTGTACCCAGGCAATTCCCTCCTAAGAGACATATGTTAATATTGATTTTCTATTATCAATTGGAGGGAAGAAGTAACACAGAAAATATTGACTAGCATTCTATGAAAATCAAGCTGAGTAAACCATTTGGATCAGGTATGTCAGACTGAATATGCACTTCGTTGCCCTGAGCTGTGGATTAGATTTCAGGTTCACACATCCCTGGAAGAAAAGATAACCAGGCGTTTACTCTGGAGGCTGCCTGGTCAGTGTTGGTTCTCCTAATTCTGGTAATGTTCACATTCTCCTCCTTGGACCTGAGGGCTGTAGGACTGTTGCCTCCCAACCATCGAGAACACGTAGAAAGGCTGAAAAGTGTTCTTATCCACATTTCACTGTAGCCACAGTCCAAGAACCTCTTTAGGTCAAGCAGGAAAAATTAATACTCTGGCCTCACCCTAATTTTTCAGGACTTTTTTTCATTGATGGAAAGAATGTGAATGGCCCTTTCTATAAAAGCCATTTTCCTTTTCAGTGGTATCATCAGAGAAAGAAATAGTTTGAACTTTGCAGATGTGCTGAGATGCGGTCTCACCCAACCATATGAGAGACATATGTCTGCATATTTATACACGTGTGTGTGTATGTGTATGTGTGCAAATCTATATCTAATCTAATAAAAGAGAAACATGGTAATTAGCGTACGACCGCTACCCTTTTCATTGGCTAATCAGGGCGATATGCAAATTAACTGCCAACTAAGATGGCGGTTAACCAATCAGGGCGATTAACTGCCAACTAAGATGGCGGTTAACCGCCAACAAAGATGGCGATTAATTTGCATATGTAGGCACAAAGGCACAATGCGAAAGGGAAAGCAGGAAGAAGCCCCCTGCCACTGACAGTGATCGGAAACCCAGGGGGGAGCTAAGAGCCGGGGGGCAGGGCAAAGGCGGCCCTGGGGGCCGCCTTTGCCCTGCCCCCCAGCTGTGATCAGAGAACCAGGTGCCTTTGCCGCCCCGGCCAGTGATAGCGGGAAGCAGGGGTGGAGCCAGCAATGGGAGCTGGGCAGGGATGGAGCCGGCAGTCCGGGGAGCTAGGGATCCCTTGCCCAGGCCTAAAGCCTTGGCCAAAGATGTTAGGCCTGGGCAGGGGTGGAG